TACCTTGGTGTACAGAAACCTCCTTTGCGTTATGGTTTTTGTACTTTTTAACTTGACAATACCTGAAAAAAAAAATAAAAAAAATTGTTAGGGCAATGTTACTATTGGATATTTATTTTATTAACGTGAATATGTCAGCAAGTCCAATCAGTCATGAAAAATCAGACTGGGGCGGTAATTGATTCATCATGAAAAATTGTGTAACTATTTTGCCATTTGGTACAAATTGCTTACCTTTTTATGGTTTAAATTATTCTTTAACATGAATGATGTAGTCTTGATAAATCTGCAAGAAAAAGTATCATTAATAACATATTCAGGATAAATAAAATTAATAAAAAAAACAGCGTAAAGTCAGCTGGCCGTTTTTATTGTCCTCATTATGAGCTCAGACAAATTTGTGATAAAACAATCATCATTAAAAAACAAAACATTTTTTTTAAATTAAATAAAATAGCTTACCTTTTATAAATATTATAAGACATTTTGCCTGCAATTGATTTTATGGGGATTGTCTGAAAATAAAAAACAACAACTTATTAAGCATATTTAAAAAATAAAAAATAAAACAAATTATTTTATTTTTACGTCTTCAGACCTGTTGAGCATGATTATGATCTATCATGGTTTTATATAGCATAGGTAATTCATCATTTAAAATTAACAACAGTGAAAATATTAACAAAATGTAATAAACTTACCATTATTGAAAACTGAATGTTTTTGGAGGATGTAATCTGAAACAACAAAAAAAAGTAAAATTTAATTTAATTTTTTTTAAAACGTGTTTTATTTTTTTGACGGGAAAAAATGTCAGGCCTGTTGAGCTTTTACATCCATCACAATAATATGGTGTAGAAAATGTCATCATCAAAATTTTGTGTGTAATTTTTTTATATAAAATGTTGGTACTTACTTAGTAAATCACCCCGCCAAATGGAAAAAAAATGGTACCTGAAAAAAATTGCATACGTTAAAATTTAATTATAATAAATTCTTTAATTGATATTATTCTTATTAAAACTCAGCTGGCCGTTTTTAATGTCCTCAAAGTGTTCAGAACAGGTCTGTGATTAAACAATCATCATAATAAAAAGTAATAAAATAATAACAATATTAAAACGAATTGTTACTTACTTTTAAAAAACAACCCATAACTGTTGAAATGTATATTCGTTCAAAAACCGACCTGGAAAAAAATCGCATTTTATTTTATTGAAATTTTGGGATTCATTTTATTATTTTTTGCTTCTTTAAAGTCAGCTGGCCGTTTTTATTGTCCTCATTATGAGCTCAGAACAGGTCTGTGATAAAACAATCATCATACGAAAAATTAACTAATAAAAAACTGCTTATGGGTGATTCCAGCAGAAATATATTTGGTTTATTGATAAAAATTAAAATAAAATCAATTAAGTCGATATTTGGGTGTAAATATAAATTCCTTATAGTTATTGGACAATTAACATTAATACTGTAAAAACAAGAGTTTTGGGTCCAATATAGGACAAAAAAGTTCGCACGTTACTTTGGTGGTAAGATTTTTGTTTTTTTGTTAAGAGCAGGGCTGTGTTTAAATAACAATAAAAAATATTTCTAAAAAGTGTACTGATCAGTGTGCGGTATAAATGTGTTCCTCATGGTTTAAACATTGTCACTTTAATGCGTTTTAATTTTAATTTTAAAAACAAACAGTAAAATGGCCATTGTCCAATTACTGGTTGGTAAAAAATGTAAATTTTTATTATTGGACATATATCCAATATCATACTATTTATATCCCGGACATTTACCAGCCAATTATTATATAAAATTATCCCCTGAATCCGAAAAGACCGTCAAAAACTATAAAAGTTAATCAGTTTTTGAGATATAGTCAATTCCATATTATATGTAAAATTGATTATATTTCAAAAACTGTTCCACTTTTATAACTTTTGACATTTTCGGATTCAGCAAATAATATATTTTATAGGAATTGGCTGCTAAATGTCCTGGATACAAATTGCTGTTGACTAGAATTATTAGTGGCTGCTTTTTCGCTATGACATTTTTGACTAATTCATTTTTAGAGAGTAAGTAATATAGTGATTTCTTCGTCACTGGACATCTTGCAGAATAACAGTGATTTAAGAGTGCATGATAGAGAACATAAAAAACTAATGGCAATAAAATTAATAAATTCGGAAAATACTTTTATTATACCACCCGAAAAAATATTAGATATATATAAATCATCCTGTTCCAGCCTAAACATTATAAATGCTTCACAAACTATAGATACCAAACTTAATGATATTTGCAACAAACTATTTCAGAAGTCAGATCAAGGAATTAGTAGTTCCTTCAGAATCCAGAAAAGGGATAAGGAATCCGAGAAAGAAATATATGAATTATATGATATTTACAAAAACGAAATAAAAAATTACCTAAAACAGCAATTTATCTTCAAAAAATATTTAAAAATGTATATTATTTGATGTAAAGTTGTTATATTTATATAAAAATTGTATGTCCAATAACTATGGTTCATGTGTCCAATTACTATACTTGTTTTTTATAAAATTATTATTAAAAATTCAAATATTCTTATTTTTAAGTAAAATGAAATAAAGTTTAAACAAAGAAACTATCCTTTTTATATATTCATAAGAAAAAATCCAAAATCTTTCAAACAAAGGCATTTATAAATTTTACCCTATTTATATGTTACGTTTTCAGTCAAAATTGAAATGTCTGAAATGTATTTTTTTCATTGATGATGATGTAAAATATAATTTCAATATTATTTTGAAAATTGCAGTTATGATTTTTTTAAATTTTAAAACCAGAAAAATCGATATTTTTACAACTGTTTGCGAATGAAAAAAGATTTAAGAAATTTCTTAATTGTTGACAAAATATTAAAAAAATGCTTTATAAAATATACAACACATCATTTTTATTATCTATGGTTAATTCGCAATTTTGGGTTTTCAAAAAATTTTGTACTGAATTTTTTTTTAAATATCATTTTTGGACAGTTTTTGTTGATTTGTCATTTTCTTTTCAATGAAATGATTTTTTAGTCAAAATTTTCAGAAAAATCAAAATTGCAAAAATTGACCATAGAAAATAAAAAGGTGTCGAATATTCTGTGGATTTAAAATAAAGTAAATTTTTTATAACCAAATATATTTTGGACTTTTTTCATGAACAAAAAAAAACATTTATTAATGTTTATTTTTTTTTAATATTCCTTATTATTTTAATTTAATTTAGTAGTATTTTAACTTACCCTAAAATCTTTCCAAACTTCTTCTTGCTTTCCAAATATTGCAATGATAGAAAAAGTTCGTTAATTTTTCATCATTGCACCACCAGTATGTATTTTTACTTCAGGTCTTATACCTACAGCCAACAACTTTAAACTAATGCCCGATCCCGATTTATCAAACATAAAACATCATCTACCTGGATTAGCAGTAAAATTGAAAACCTTTTTATTCAGGTACTTTTTTTCGTAACTCAGGTAAAGACGTGCAAATTTTGAAAACCGTTTGACAGGCTGTCTGATCTTCCATCTGTCTCAAAAACACAATAAAGTTCAAGATTCAGAGTGGAAATTCAATTTTATTTGCCATTCATTGCGAATGCTCAACATATTGATTACTGTTGAGCATTGTCTAATGATGGCCCACAACGTGGTAAAAAAGCAAAAAAATACCATTTTGTCATTTCAGGACTTTCAAACATCAAATAAAAAAAATCAAGAAAAATTAAAAAAAAAAAAACAGAACTAAAAGAAAAAAAAATAAGGCAAAAAACCAAAATAAATAACGAAAAAAATTAAATAAAATTGTTTTGTTTTTTCAAATAAAAAATCTAGAAAAAAGATCGAAAAAAATACAAATGAATAACAAAAATTAAAAGAAAAAACGAAACAAAGCAGAAAAAAACGAATAAAGGCAAACAAACAAATTAAACTAAAACAAAAAATACAATAATTGTATTTTTTGTTTAATTATTGTTGTCATTTTAGTACTTTTGTCTTTACAAGACTTTTAAACATCAAATGGCAAAAAATAAAAAACGAAATTTTTAAAATGTATTCACAAAACTTGTATTTTCAAAACATCAACAAAATTAACGAAAAAGAAAACAAAAAAAAAATTTTAAAAAATAACAAAAAATGGTCAAAAACAAAAATAGAATTCAAAAAAAGGAAAACAAAAACGAATAAAGGCAAAAACAAGAAACAGAAAGAGATTTTTAACAAAATATTTAAAAAAACAAAAAATACAATTGTTTGGTCTATTCAGGACTTTCAAACATTGAAGATTGAAAAAAAGAAAAATTAAAAAAGAAAATAAAACGAATAAAGGAAAAAAGAAGAAACTGTAAGAGATTTTTTAAATTAAAAAAAAAATAGCAAGAACAAAAATTAAAAGAAAAGTAAAAAAACAAAAATAAAGACCGAAAATATACAAATCAAAAGAAAAATTCAAAGAAAATAACGAAAAATGACAAAAATAAAATATAGAACGAAAAAAATACAAATAAAGGCAAAAACAAGAAACAGAATTTTTTTTAATAAAAAAAACAAAATCAGAACTTTCAATCACAGAAAAAAAACAAGAAAAAATACCAATTAAAACAAAAAGTAAAAGAAAAAACGAAAAATGGCCATAAAACAAAAATAAAGAACAAAAAAAATTTGAATTAAAAAAAATAAACAAGAAACAGAAAACAGATTTTTAAATTATTAAAAAAAAACAAATAATACAATTGTTTTGTCTTTTCAGGAACAAGAAAAAAGACAAGGACAAAAAAAATCATTCAAAAAACAAAAATGAAAAAAAGGAAAAAAACAAAAATCTTTTTACTCACCTAATATTTTGTTTTTCTTTCAATATAGATTTTCTGCATATGAATGATGATGGATTCTTATTTGTATTTTATTGGGTTAGAACACTTAGAAACTTTGTACAATACTGACTGAGTAAAATGAAAATCGGTGGATAAATAAAATTACCTTTTTATTACATATAACAAAAATCAGAGACAGATATTGCTTATAATATAATAATCAGTACTAACTAAAAAAATAAAAACAAATTAATGTTCAATGAACCCACTTATCATGAAGGTATATGTATATATCAGGTAATAAATAAATTTGTATATGGAATACGTTATTAAAACTAAATTCTTGGTTGTGTAATATAATTTACTTTTTCTTCTGTAAGATGTATACAGATTTATGCATTTTAGCGATAACAATTTAAAAAAAAGTTTTAACAGATTCATATTAGCTAAGGATTAAATTAATAAACATCCTGCTTTTCAATAGTAGTAGTAGTACAAAAAATTACATTAGCATATAATTTTTTATTATGAAATAAATTTAAATTGATTATAATTCTTAAATAAATCTGTACAAAACCTATTCCCTAGCCCCACTTGAAGTGTTGTTTACATTTTGTCCAGGTATGATTGGAGGTCTGGGAGACCCTCTTTGAGACCCTTCCTTTTACGTGTGTCCTGAAATTATCAAATAACAATTTCAGTTTTTTCACTTCACATTTAACACGCAATTACTAAGGGGGTCGTAAGTTACGACCCCCTTTATTAAATAAGAAAACCTTATTTTTATTAAATAGTACATTTTTAGCCATTTTCAGCAAAAATGTACTATTTTTGGTAAAAAGTGGTCTTTACTGAAAAAATGTTCAAAATTTTCGATCTAATTATTAAAAAAAAATACGTCTTAAGCCATTTCCAGCAAAAATGTGCCATTTTTAAAAAAGTGTTTTTTTGTAAATAATAATAAAGAAGCCTTTCGTAAAAAATGCCGAAAATTGTCTTGCTTTTCTATTGAAAACAAAGACATAAATAACTTTTTTTTCAAAAATAGCACGTTTTGAGGCATTTCCTGCAAAAATTCATCATTTTTGTATTTTTTTTTCTAAAAAAAAATTTGCTTTTCAGTCGAAAAAAGTAGAAACCAAAATAAATTGACTTTTTTCTCGAAAAAATACGGTACTAAAAAGTTTAAATGTTACGAGTCCGTATCGCGGCTTTTTCCAAAAAATTGATAATTTTTGCTGGAAATGACTTAAAATTTGCGAACTGTTCTTTTTTATTTATCAAACGTTAAAAATGCTAAAAATTTTCTTGCCTTTTGATCGAAAAAAATATATACCCTAGACCTAAGTTATTTTCATCAAAAATTAACAATTTTTTGGAAAAAGCCACGATAAAGGAACATTTTCCGCAAAAATGTTACGATTCGTAACATTCTTTTGCGGAAATGTTCCTTATCTGAAAATGGCAAAAAATGTGTTATTTAAAAAAAAAATGTTTTTTTAATACATTTAATTTAAAAAAAAAATCCTGATAATTGTCGAATGTACTGAAAGATGTGTTTAATGTAGTTGGAAATAGATTGTTGGATGTAATCAACTCGTCATTATCATACGGAGAAGTTCCGAAAAATTGGAAAACATCTGTGATAATACCAGTACAAAAAGTGTCCAATACTAAAAAAAGCTGTGAATTTCGACCGATTAACACAGTACCAATATATGAGAAACTGTTAGAATCTGTGGTTAAGGAGCAACTATTAAAATATTGTGTCGAAAATAATGTGTTAGTATGAAACCAATCTGGGTTTCGAAGAGGTTATTCATGTGAGTCAGTGGTTGTACATATTTGTAATGAATTTTTAAAAGCGATAGATTGTGGGAACTTTGTGTTGGCAGTATTTTTAGACTTCAAAAGAGCTTTTGAGACAATAGATAAAAATTTGCTATTACTAAAATTGAAAAAAATGGGACTAAGTGGAAAGGTACTGGAATGGTTCAAATCCTACCTTCATAATAGAAAACAAAAAGTTAAATATGGAAGTATGTATTCAAGTTGTAAACCTGTTAAATATGGAGTACCGCAAGGAACTGTGCTTGGGCCAATTTTATTTATATTGTATATAAACGACATGGCAAAAATAGTTAAATCCAGCAAAATAAAAATGTTCGCAGATGATACTATGCTATACATAGAAGGGAACAATTTAAATGTAATGAGTGAACTAATAAACAACGATTTAAAATTGCTATGTGAGTGGCTAAATAGCAATAGTTTATGTTTAAATGTGTCAAAAACTAAATTCTGTGTATTTGGGAGTAGATATAAGACTGTAAATGTTGATTTTAATTTTTTAAATATAAGTGTTAATAATGTCAAATTAGAATGTGTAAAAGAAATTAAATATCTCGGAGTGATCCTTGATGAACAATTAAATTTTCACAAACATGCAAGCTATGTAATGAACAAGTTAAGCAAAAAAGTATTTTTTATAACTAGAATAGGTAAAAATCTGTCCTTATACACAAAACTACTACTTTATAAAAGTATAGCACTACCACATATTTCATTTTGTTCAACCCTTTTATATAATTTACCCAGGTATATAGTTAATGAAATACAAATTATACAGAATAGAGCTATGAGAGTAATTTTAAATGTGAATCGTTATACGCCTATACAAACCATGATAAATGTCTTGAATATTTTGTCTGTGAAACAAAAAATATATGTTGATGTTATGTTATTTATTTTTAAGGTTAAAAACAATTTAGTACCTGATTACTTGTCCGATAATATTAAATATGTGCGTAATGTCCACAATTATAATACTCGTAATATAAACCATTTCCAACTTGATGGATGTAAAACAGTACAAATGTCAAACTTTACTATGTACAAGGGTATGCTTGAATTTAATAAGCTACCCCCGGATATACAACAATGTAGTGATATCACAACTTTTAAAAATTGTATTAGATCTCATATACGATCACTATAGTGATAATATATTTTAAATTGTCATAATGTATACGTATTGTCTTAAGTTTATATGATTTTATTTATTTTCTGTGTTATTTTATGTTTTTTATATATTTATACTATTATATGTTTTCTGTATAGCATTCTGGCTAATAAAGATATTATTATTATTAAAAAGTAGAAATCTTTCCTAGGAAAACCTAAATAACTTTTTATTCAAAAATGGTACGTCCGTTTTAAGCCTTTTCCTGCAAAAATTAACAATTTTTTCGAAAAGTTCGCGATACGGACAATTTTCCTCAAAAATATTACAAACCGTAACATTTTCTGCAGAAAATGTTCCCTTATATTGTCTTTTTCAAAAAAAAAAATGAAATTTTGTTGACAATTAAATGCAGTATTTTTACCAGAAAATGTTTAGTATTGAAACTTAAAAAAATGTTAATTTTTGCTGGAAATGGCAAAAAGTGTCAAACATTGTCTTGCTTTTCAATCGAAAAAAGTAGAAACCTAGAAGACCTATATAATAACTTTTCACTAAGATTTAAAGTTGTATTTCCATTTCTAGCAAAATTAAAATTCTCGAAAAAGTCGAGTATGGAACATTTTAGCAAAAAATTGTTAATTTTTGCTGGAAATGGCAAAATGTGCTATTTTAAAAAAAAAATGTTTTTTTTCATAAATTTATTAAAAAATTAAAAAATGGTCAATAAAAGTAGAAACTTTTTCAAAGACCTTTTATTTAAAAATAGTACGTTTTCCATTTCTAGCAAAATTTAACAATTTCTCGAAAATGTCGAGTATGGAACATTTTTCCCAAAAAATGTCCCAAAGAATTGTAAGTTTTTGCTGGAAATGGTAAAAATGGTACGTTTTGAGCCATTTGCAGCAAAAAAACACTTTTCTAAAAAAAGTCGATACGGAACATTTTCCGCAAAAAATCGCGAAAAAGTCGAGTATGGAACATTTTCCCAAAAAATGTCCCATTTTATTTTAAAATGTTTCTTTCTTCATTTAATTAAAAAAAAATTAAAAATGGTCGAAAAAAGTAGAAACCTTTCCAAAGACCTAAATAACATTTTATTTAAAAATAGTAAGTTTTCGATTTCTAGCAAAATTTAACAATTTCTCGAAAATGTCGAGTATGGAACATTTTCCCAAAAAAATGTCCCAAAGAATTGTAAGTTTTTGCTGGAAATGGCAAAAATGGTACGTTTTGTGCCATTTGCAGCAAAAATTATCACTTTTCTAGAAAAATTCGAGTATTAAACATTTTCCCAAAAAAATTGTTCATTTTTGCTGGAAATGTCCAAAAATGTGCTATTTTTTTAAAAATGTATTTTTTCATTTAATTAAAATAAAAAATGGTCAAAAAAGGTAAAAACCTTTTAAAGACCTAAATAACATTTTATTTAAAAATAGTACGTTTTCCATTTCTAGCAAAATTTAACAATTTCTCGAAAATGTCGGGTATGGAACATTTTCCCAAAAAATGTCCCAAAGTTTTTGCTGAAAATGGCAAAAATTGCCATTGCAGCAAAAATAAACAATTTTCTCGAAAAAGTCGCGATACGGAACATTTTCCGCAAAAATGTTACGAATCGTAACATTTTCTGCGGAAAATGTTCCCTCCCTATCGTTACTTTATCGAAGAAGCGCTAAAAATTGTGCTTTTTTCCAAAAAAAAAAAATTTAAACGCCCTAGAAAAAAACAAACAACTAAATGTAACAAACAGTTCGACTTACTTGTACGACTCCGTATGGTCTGGTTCCCGGTTCGGTGGGGTCACCGGGCAGGACTTGCCAATGGTCGAACACGCACTGCGGGGAAAGCTTGTCCGCCGGTGTTGGAACGGAGATCGGCGGTGAAACCGAACGACTCGTTTACGGGCAAGTACGCCTTCACCACGAACATGGGCGTGCCGGCCACTTGCATTTCCTCGAACACGTGACCACGTCTTCTGTTCAACACTCCGTAGATACCGCCCACGGCGACCTCGGGACACTACGACAACAAAACAGTTTTCTTTCAATTCCCTTCAACTCCCTTTTATGGTAAAATATCTTTACTAAATATGAAAAACTTTTTTAAATAGTACATTTCCTGAAAAAATTAACACTTTTTTCGAAAAAGTCGCAATACGGAACATTTTCCCCAATAAGTCTGCGGAAAATGTTCCGTGTCGCGGCTTTTTCAAAAAATTGCTGGAAATGACTAAAAATGAAAAGTTTTCTTTTTTCTTATTTAATAAAAAGGTCTAACTGCAAATTGTCGATTAAAAAAAGTATAATTGTTAATTAAAAAAAGTATAAACCCCCAACAAAGACCTAAATAACTAATTTATAATTTAAAAATGGTACGTTTTGAGCCATTTTCCACAAAAATTAACATTTTTTAGAAAAAGTCGCTAAACGGAACATTTTCCCAAAAATGTTACAAGTCGTAACATTTTCTGAGGAAAATGTTCCCTATCGCGGATTTTTCCAAAAAATTGTTAATTCTTAGTGGAAATGGCAAAAATGTTCTAGTTATGAAAAAAACGTTTTTTGTTAAATAAAGATGTCTACACTAAAAAAAATTATATTGCATTTTGATCGAAATAAGTAGAAACCTTCAACAGAGACCTAAATAACGAACTTTTTTTTTGAAACAGTACGTTTTGAAAATTTGCAGCAAAAATAAACAATTTTTTCGAAAAAGTCGCGATAGGGAACATTTTCCCCAAAAACGTTACGAGTCGTAACATTTTCTGCGGAAAATGTTCCCTATCGCGGATTTTTCCAAAAAATTGTTAATTCTTAGTGGAAATGGCAAAAAATGTTCTAGTTATGAAAAAAAAACGTTTTTTGTTAAATAAAGATGTCTTCTCTAAAAAAATGCTAAAAATCCTATTGCTTTTAGATCAAAAAAAGTAGAAACCCCCAACAGAGATCTAAATAACCAACTTTTTTTTCGAAACAGTACGTTTTGCGCATTTGTAGCAAAATTAAATAATCTTTTCGAAAAAGTCGCAAAACGGAACATTTTCCCCAAAAATGTTACCGAGTTGGAACATTTTCTGCGGAAAATGTTCCCTATCGCGAATTTTTCCAAAAAATTGTTAATTCTTTGAGGAAATGACAAAAAATGTCCTAGTTCTGAAAAAATAAAACGTTCTTTGTTAAATAACGATCTCTGCACTAAAAAATGCTGAAAACCATATTTTTTTTCAAAATAGTACGTTTTGAGCTATTTGTACCAAAAATCAACAATTTTCTCGAAAAAGTCGCTAAACGGAACATTTTCCCCAATTGCGGAAAATGTTCCCTATCCTGGATTTTTTCAACAAATTGTTCATTCTTGATGAAAACGCTTCGATACGAAACATTTTTCCAAAAATGTACCATTTTAATTTTGAAGTTATTATCAATTTAAATGAGTGTTTAAACACTTTTTACAGAATTTGGAGTTTAATTTAAACGCCAAATACTTAAAAAGTTACATTTGCGATGAGTATGTGTGTATTTTTAAAGTGTTTGTCGAAATTTGACTTACTTGGATTTCGCATTGGTAGACGGGCTCCATGAGCCTGGGCTGAGCGGTCAGCAGACACGCGTAGAGGCAACGACGCGTGGTGGGAATGATCTGACCGCCTCCGCGATGGATGGCGTCGGCGTGCAAGGTGACGTCGTAGATGTTGAAGCGGACACCACGCAAGTTCTCTTCGGAGAGAACGCCCTCCTTGGTGGCCCACTGGAACCCGGCCACGACCGAGTCCTTGATCTCGTTCAGGTACTGCACCCCCTTGGTGCAGTCCATCAGCAAGTTGGGCCCGGTGCCGTCCGGCCCGAAGCACCAGATCTTACGCGCCTCGGTCACGTCGTACTCGTACTTCTCGCCCAAGTAGCGCGCGCGCGATTTGAAGTCGTCGCGCGGGTTCACGTTGCCGTCGTCGATGTCCTCGGCCAGGCCGTCAGGCATCGGCTGCGCCTTCATGAACAGCCTGTTGTGCTTGTTGGGCGATTTCGACAGACACATCTGGTCGGATTCCTCGCTGACGGTTTCCCTGTAAGAGACGACCGGGTCGGATTTTTTGATGGGGATGCACGCGTGGTCGTCCTCCAAATCTTTCAGGCAAATTTCCAAGTGAAGCTCGCCGGCGCCGGCGATGATGTGCTCGCCAGACTCTTCGATGATGCACTGCACCATAGGGTCGGATTTCGCCAAACGTTTCAGACCTTCGAGACAAATTTTACACCGTTTAGAACGAGAGATTTACAAAAAACAGTTTGTTCTTCAACATTTCTACTCAGATACAACAACAACCAATCAGTCACCGAAGTCAGACTGGGGCGGTAATCACAATCATCATAGTGAATGCAAGGAAAGCTAAATAGAAATAGTCCCAGACTGGCATTTACTTAAAAATGCTGAAAGTCATCTTGCTTTTCGATTGAAAAAAATAGAAACACCCAGAGACCTAAATAACTAACTTTTTTTTAAATAGTAAGTTTTGAGCCATTTGCAGCAAAAATTCTGCAGAAAATAGCGATTTTTTTCAAAAAATTGTTAGTTATTGATGAAAATGACTAGAAAATTTCCTAATTATTTTAAACTATAGCAAATTTTCCCAAAAATTGTTAATTTTTGCTGAAAATAGCAAAAAAATTCCTAGTTTCAAAAAACGGAATTTTTTGATTAATAAAAATATATTATATAAAAAATCTTGCTTTTTTATATAAAAAAGTAAAAACCCCAAATTTTAAATGGTACGTTTTGAGCCATTTGCAACAAAAATTGACAATTTTCTCGGAAAAGTCGCGATAGGGAACATTTTCCCCAAAAATATTACGAGTTGTAACATTTTCTGCGAAAAATGTTCTTATCGCGTTTTTTCCAAAAAATTGTTAATTTTTCCTGAAAATGTCAAAAATCACAAAAAACAAAGTACGTTATGAGCCATTTGCATAAAAAAATAACAATTTTCTCAAAAAAGTCGCGATAGAGAACATTTCCCCCAAAAACGAACGAGTCGTAACATATTCTGCGAAAAATGTTCCCTATAGCGAAATTGCAGCAAAAATTGACAATTTGTTCGAAAAATTCGGGATTGGGAACATTTTCCCCAAAAACGTCACGAGTCGTAACATTTTCTGCAAAAAATGTTTCCTATAGCGATTTTCCCATTTGCAGCAAAAATTGACATTTTTTCGAAAAATTTCGCGATAGGGAACATTTTCCCCTAAAACGTTACGAGTCTTAACATTTTCTGCGAAAAATGTTTCACATGGCGTTTTTTTTTTTTCAAAAAATTGTCAATTTTGGCTGAAAATGGCAAAAAAATGTCCCAATTTCAAAAAAACGGAGTTTTTTGTTTAATAAAGTTGTATTAAATAAAAAATCTTGCTTTTTGATAAAAAAAAAGCAGAAACCCCCAACAGAGATCTAAATTACAAATTTTTTTAAACTTGTACGTTTTAAGCCATTTGCAGCAAAAATTGACAATTTTCTCGAAAAAGTCGCTAAAGGGAACATTTTCCCCAAAAACATTACGAGTCGTAACATTTTCTGCGAAAAATGTTCTCTATGGCGTTTTTTTCAAATAACGAAGTTTTTTGTTTAATAATGATGTATTTGCAGCAAAAATTGACAATTTTCTCGAAAAAGTCGCGAGAGGGAACATTTTCCCTAAAAACGTTGCCAGTCGTAACATTTTCTGCGGAAAATGTTCCCTATCGCGTTTTTTCCAAAAAAAAATTGTTAATATTTGCTAAAAAATGGCAAAAATGTACTTAATTGAAAACTAAAGATGGATTTAATAAAATATCTTCTTTTTCGACCGAAAAAAGTAGAAACCCCCCAACAGAGACCTAAATAACTAACTTTTTTTTCAAATTGTACGTTTTCAGCCATTTGCGGCAAATTTGACAATTTTCTCGAAAAAGTCGCGATAGGGAACATTTTCCCCAAAAACATTACGAGTCGTAACAATTTCTGCGGAAAATGTTCCCCATGACCAAAAAATTGTTTATTTTTGCTGAAAATGTTAAAAATGATGAAAAAAAAGTTATGGGGACCAAAAATAAAGCAACAGAAAACCTGCAGAACGTAGAATGCAGCGAAAGTCTCGAAAAGAGCAGAAAACCATAAAAAGTAGAAGGATTGTCTAATTATTAAAAAAAAAGAAAACCAACCTTTCCAAAACGTTGTAAATGTCTTACAAACTAGAATTTTTTTAGCTGAAATTTAGCACAAATTAGAGACTCACCTTCTACTAGTTTGGGCAGGTCGGCAGGGTTCTTGGGCTCGACAGCGACGCGCACTACCGGCGACACGCTGAACTTCATGACCTTCAAGTTGTGAGCATCCTTAAACGTGGTGATGGTTCCGGTTTTGACCAAGAACTGATCGACGCCGACGAGACCGCAGATGTTGCCGGAGGGCACGTCCTCGATCGCCTCGACGTAACGTCCCATCATGAGGATGGTACGTTGGATGGCCTTCTCGTAGAGATCCTCCTTCTTGCCGGGCGTGTAGTTTGGCCCCATGATGCGAGCCTTCATGCCGGTGGCAACCTTCGATGCAAATTTTGTTTTCAGTAAATGAACATTCAATTTAAAATCAATTATTGAAAACCTTTTACGTATTTTTTACCAGGATATGTTTAAAATTTTTAGATTTTCTGTCATTTTTAAGTTTACAATTTTTTTTAAATTTAAATGTAATAAAAAAAATTTAGTGAAATTTACCTAAAAAATTTACAAAAAACATGTAAAATTTACGTAAAACCAGCTTTTTTAAATTTTATTGTAAATTTGTATTATTTACAATTAACTTGTAAAAGTTACGACAAAATTGTAGAACAGAATGTATTACGTAGTTTTAATTTAAAATGTGACAGGTTTTCTGAATTTTTTTCACAAAATATGTAAAAAAAAACAGAAAATTTGTGAAATTTTCAAAAAAATTTACGACCAATTCGTAAAAACTACTACAAAATTGTACAAAAATTAATTTTAAATTGAAAATCTTTCACGTATTTAAGTTATGGATATTTTATTGCACAATATGTTACCTAATTTTTAGGTTTTCTGTAATTTTTCTTATCATAAAAATCACAAAAAACAAAAATTTTTGCTTTTTTAAATTTTATTGTAATTTTTATAATGCCTTTTCGCCACCTTTAATTCAAATTTCATTTTGAATTGAAAACCTTTTACTTATTTTATTTAGTTATGGATATTTTGTTGCCAGAATATATACTGGAATTTTTAGATAAAATTTTACAGAATTTCTGTTATTTTTACACAAAATATGTAATAAATACAGATGTTGTGAAATTTACAATTTTTTTTTTATAAAATCACAAAAACATGTAAAATTTACAGAAAAACAACTCTTTTAAATTTTAGTGTAATATTTACAATCAATTTGTAAAAATTACAACAAAATTGTATAACATGCAAAAAATTTACGTATTTCAGTTATTTTGTTGCCAGAATTTGTTACGTAATTTTAATATAAAATTTTACACTTTTTCTGATTTTTCTTTCAAAAAATATGTAATAAATAAAAACAGAAAATTTGTGAATTTTCAAAAAAGCAAAATTTACAAAAACATGTAGGTTAAATTGAATTTTTAAATTTTATCATAATTTTTACAACCAATTCGTAAAAATTACTACTTTCAATATTTTTACAGAAAAACAGCTCTTTTAAATTTTATTGTATTTTTTACACAATACATGTAATAAAAACAGAAAATTTGAGAAATTTTATAGTAATTTTTAAAATTATTACAAAATAGTAAAAAAAAATTAATTTTGAATGTTACGTAATTTTGATAATCTTTTTTACACAAAATATGTAAAATTTACAAAAATGCATAAAAATCACAACAAACGCTTTTTTGGTAATTTTTACAGTCAATTCGTAAAAATTACTAAAAAATTGTATAACAGGCAAAATTCTGTAAAATTTCCCATGATGTAATTTCGAATTGAAAACCTTCATGGATATTTTGTTGCCAGAAATAATAATAAATTTATTGGCCAACATTACAATATTACAATATGTTTGTGACAGGTCAAAATTATTATTGCGAATATTACGTAATTATAAAATAAAATTTTACAGCTCTCCTGTAATTTTTACACAAAATATGAAATAAAACAAGTTTGCAAAAAGAACTGTAAAAATCACAAAAACATGTAAAATTGAATTTTTAAAATTTTATCGTAATACCAATTCGTAAAAATTACTACAAAATTGTAAAACAAATTTAATTTTGAATTGAAAACCTTTCACGTATTTTAGTTATTTGGTTGCCAAAATTTAACACGTAACTTTTATATAAAATTTTACAAGTTTTCTGTATTTTTACACAAAATATGTAATAAAAACAGACATGTTGAGAAATTTACAAAAAAGATGTGTAAAAATCGCTAAAAACGAGCAAAATTAAATTTTTTAAATGTTATCGTAATTTTTACGAACAATTCGTAAAAATTACTACAAAATTGTAAAACAAATTTTGTTGCCAGAATATATCACGCAACTTTTATGTATTTTTACACAAAATATGTAATAAAAACAGACATGTTGAGAAATTTACAAAAAATATGTGTAAAAATCGTAAAAAACGTACAAAATTAAATTTTTAAAATTTTATAGTAATTTTTACGAACAATTCATAAAAATTACAACAAAATTGTAAAACAAATTTAATTTTGAATGGATATTTTGTTGCCAGAATATATTTATTACGTAACTTTTATATAAAATTTTAAGAGTTTTCTGTATTTTTTACACAAAATATGTAATAAAAACAGACAATTTGAGAAATTTACAAAAAGATGTGTAAAAATCGCAAAAAACATGTAAAATTAAATTTGTTTTAAAATTTTATAGTAATTTTTACGACCAATTCGTAAAAATTACCACAACATTGTAAAACAAATTTAAGTTTGAATTGAAAACCTTACACGGAACTTTTATATAAAATTTTACAAGTTTTCTGTATTTTTTACACAAAATATGTAAAGATGTGTAAAAATCGCAAAAAACATGCAAAATAAATTTTTTTTTAAAATTAATCGTAATTTTTACGACCGATTCGTAAAAATTACGACAAATTTCGATTTAGAAAAAACTAAGCCTCACCTTTCCGGAGAACACGCGACCGAAAGCGTAGAAACGTCCCTTGTCGGAGGTGGGCACCATCTTCGAGATGTACATCATGAGCGGCGCGTTCGGGTCGCAGTTCTTGATGCCCATGGCGGCCTCGTCGTCGTGCGGGCCCTCGTACAGCATCTCCATCCTGTACTTCTGCGCGGTAACAGGCGACGGCAGGTGGATGGCTATCATCTGCAGTAAAGCTTCGCCGGCCGGCAGCCAGGTGCGCATAACAACCTTCAACAGCTGCTTGCCGTCCTTGTCTTTGTCCTCGTGCTTCAACGTGATGCCCAGTTTGGGCAGGAGCGCTTCGTAATCGTCTTTCCTGCAAGGGGGTGGGTTTTTTTTAGAGATTTTGCGCATTCAAAAATGCATTTATTTTTTGATTGAATGGTGTGGTCAGATGGCCGTTCTTATTAGTCATCAATTAATTTGCAGAACAGGTCTGTGATTGAACAATCATCATGTAATTTTTCAACGGTGATTTTACGTATTTTATTTAGTTTCTAGCCAGAAAATATCACATAATTTTTAGATGAAATTTCACAGATTTTTTGTAACTTTTACACAAAATATGTAATAAAAGCATGTAAAATTTACAGAAAAACAGCTTTTTCCAATCTTATTGTAATTTTTACAATCAATTTGTAAAAATTACTACGAAATTGTAGAACAAGCAAAATCTGTGAAATTCAACTTAAATTTAATTTTTAGTTGTTTTTTTTGTTGCCAGAATATGTTAAGTAATTTTTAAATAAAATTTTACAGCTTTCTGTATTTTTTCATAAAATATGAAATACAAACAGAAAAAGTGTAAACTTTACAAAAATCACTAGAAAAAATGTCAAATTCACTTTATAAAATTTTATCGAAATTTTTAGTTTGTAAAAATTTCGACCTTCAATTTAAATTTTTTTTTAATTGAAACTTTTATACTTATTTTACTTTGTTGTGAATATTTTGTTGCCGGAACACGTACTGTAATTTTTAGATGAAATTTTACGGCATTTTTATAATGTTTGCACAAAATATGAAATAAAAACATAATTTGTGAAATTTACAGAAAAACCGCTTTATAAAATTTTATTGTATTTACAACAAGTTTGTAAAAATTACGACAAAATTGTAGAACAGGCTAAAAATGTGATGTATTTCAGTTATTTTGTTGCCAGAATGTGTTACGTAATTTTGATATGAAATCTTACAGGTTTTCTGTATTTTTTTACAGAAAATATGAAATAAAACAAGAAAATGTGTGAAGTTTACAAAAAAAGTTGTAAAAATCACAAAAAACATGCAAAATGAATTTTTTAAATTTAATCGTAATTTTCACGACCATTTCGTAAAAAGAACCACAAAATTGTGGAACAAATTTAATTTTGAATTGAAAACTTTTCACGTATTTCAGTTATGGATATTTTAATTTTTAGATGAAATTTTACAGCATTTTTGTAATTTTTACACAAAATACGAAATAAAAACATATAATTTTTAAAATTTACAAAAAAATTATAAAAATCACAAAAACATGTAAAATTTACAGAAAACCCGCTTTTTTTAAATTTTATTGTAATATTTACATCCAATTTGTAAAAATTACGACTAAATTGTAGAACAAGGCTAAAAATGTGACTTATTTCAGTTAATTTTTACTTATTTAAAAATTACCAAAAAATTATAGAAAAAATTAATTTTGAATTGAAAACTGTTCACGTATTTCAGTTATGGATATTTTGTTGTCAGAATACATATTTTTTACACAAAATACGAAATAAAAGCAATGATTTGTAAAATTTAATTTTTTTTTATAAAAATCACAAAAAACATGTAAGATTTTTAGAAATACCGCTTTTTTTAATTTTATTGTAAAATTTACAACCAATTTGTAAAAATTATGACAAAATTGTAGAACAGGCTAAAAATGTGATGAATTTCAGTTATTTTGTTGCCAGAATGTGTTACGTAATTTTGATATGAAATCTTACAGGTTTACTGTATTTTTTACACAAAATATGAAATAAAAACAGACAATTTGTGAAGTTTACAAAAAAAATTCGTAAAAATTACCACAAAATTGCAGAACAAATTTAATTTTGAATTGAAAACTTCACGTATTTCAGTGATGGATATTTTGTTGCCATAATACACAATGTAATTTTTAGATGAATTTTACAGCATTTTTGTAATTTTTACACAAAATACGAAATAAAAACATGTAATTTGTAAAATTTACAAAAAAATTATAAAAACCACAAAAACATGTAAATTTACAGAATAGCGCTTTTTTAATTTTTTTTTGCAATATTAACCAATCAATTTGTAAAAATTACGACTAAATTGTAGAACAGGCTAAAAATGTGATGTATTTCAGTTATTTTGTTGCCAGAATGTGTTACGTAATTTTGATAGTTGAAAAATCACGAAAAACATGTAAATTTGAATTTTTTAAATTTAATCGTAATTTTCACGACCAACTAAAAATTACCACAAAATTATAGAACAAATTTAATTTTAAATTGCAAACTTTTCACGCATTTCAGTTATGGACATTTTGTTTCCATAATACTGTAATTTTAACTTAAAATTAAGATTTTTGTAATTTTTACACAAAATATGAAATAAAAAAAAAGATAATTTGTGAAATTTACAAAAAAAATTATAAAAATCGCAAAAACATGTAAAATTTACAATTTTTAAATTTTATTGTAATATTTACATCCAATTTGTAAAAATTACGACAAAATTGTAGAACAGGCTAAAAATGTGATGTATTTCAGTTATTTTGTTGCCAGAATGTGTTACGTAATTTTGATATGAAATCTCACAGGTTTTCTGTATTTTTTACAAAAAATATGAAAGAAAAACAGAACATTTGTGGTTCACAGAAAAACTTGTAAAAATCACCGTAATCATCGTAATTTCCACGACCAATTCGTAAAAATTACCACAAAATTATAGAACAAATTTAATTTTAAATTGCAAACTTCACGCAAATTAAAATTAAAATTAGGATAAAATTTTACGGCATTTTTGTAATTTTTACACAAAAAATTAAATAAAAAAATATAAATTGTGAAATTTACAAAAAAAATTATTAAAATCACAAAAACTTGAAAATTTACAATTTTTAAATTTTATTGTAATATTTACATCCAATTTGTAAAAATGTGACGTATTTCAGTTATTTTGTTGTCAGAATTTTTTTCAGTGTGAAATAAAAACATAAATTCTGTAAACTTTACAAAAAAATTGATTTTTTAAAATTTTATTGTAATATTTACAATCAATTTGTAAAAATTACGACAAAATTGTAGAACAAGAATGTGGTACGTAATTTTGACACAAAATCTTACAGATTTTCCGTACTTTTTACACAAAATGCGTAATTTTTCTTTCGAAGATTTCACCTGAAACGAGCACTTACTTGTAGTTCATGATGGAGTCGAAGATCTTGTAGATGGGGTCCAAGATGTACATGCAGAACGAGCGCTTGTTGTCGGCCTCCTTCTGCTTGGCCCACTTCTTGGTCTTGCCGTTGAAGAAGTTCTCTCCCCACAAGCGGTTCATCAGCTTGACCACGTCGATCTTGAACTTCTCGGAGTACATCTCGGCGAACTGTTTCAAGGTGAACGCCCAACCGTGCAGACCCGACCCGAAACCGACGGAACCCTTGCTCGGGTCGACGCGCACCTCGCCCATCGGGCCGCCGTCGTCGTTGTAGGTCGCGATTATAACGTTAACGTTTTCAACAATACGTTGGAACGTCTGGTACAGCTCTTCGGCTTCTAGTTGCAACTCGAGCAGAGCGCGGTCCATCTTGTTCATGAACAGGATGGGTTTTATGCGCTCGGCGATGGCTTGACGCAGAACCGTTTCGGTTTGCACGCACACGCCGGATACGCAGTCGACCACGACGAGGGCGCCGTCGGTGACACGGAGAGCGGCGGTCACTTCCGAGGAGAAATCTACGTGACCGGGCGAGTCGATCAGGTTGATCAAGAAACCTTTGTTTTCCTTTTCGCGCTGCTCGGGGTTGGTGATGAAGACAAGATCTTTGTCTTCCAACTCGAAGAACATGGAGATGGCACTGTAAACCGATTATTTTTTTAGCTTAGGTTATAATGATATATTTTTTAAGGAAATATTATAAACAGGGCTCCCACGGTTAAATTACAAATTTTATTTAGGCATTTAGGAGGTTTTTTGGAGAATTTCAGGAGAAAAAAGTAAGCAAATGAATTTATTTAATTAAATAAAAACAACTCTAAACTATACTTAAAAAATAAATAATTATTTAAAAAAAGTATAAATTAACATCACTTCTTTTGTACAAATAGGTTATATTGACTAGTTTTTTAGCCAAATCACTCGACGAATTTTTTTTTTTAATAAAATGAAAAACTTTATATCTACAAGTAAAAATTTCACCACAATCTCATAATAGAAAAAATATAAAGTGCATGATACAGCAAAACATTCTTTAGATTGTTTACTATTTTAACTATCATTTAAAAGAAAATTAATTAATAATTTGTTTGATATATAACACGGTATATTTTTGTCAAAAATTAACGAAATATGGCTAAAAATGACAATTTTGTAGAAGTCTAGAAGCTACTACATGGATTTTGTTTTATGGTATATTTTGTTGTTTTTTAAGAAGAATGTAGGTTGTGATACCTATATCATTTTAAAAAGAATTTAATAAACTAGAACCCAAAAATTTATATGTTTTAAATTACTTTTTAAAAAAGAAATTTTTTAGCACAACTACCTTAATTAAACGCAGTCAAGTTGGCCTACTTATATTTAATTTTTAGGAGTTTTAGGAGATTGATGGAAATTTTAGTAGTTTTTAAGATTTAAGCCAAATTTTAGTAATTTTATGAATTTTAGGAGGTGTGGGAGCCCTGTATAAAACAGTAGCTTTTTAAGTTTTATTGTAATACACTCACGTGCAAAATAATCGATCCACAAATTTTCGATGAATTTAAAAAAAAATAGCAATCAACAACTTTAATTTAAAAAAAATATCGTTTATAACAGAAAAATTAAAACTAAATATTGAATTAAATTAATTTAAGAAAATAAGTCCACTTAAAATATCCAATTACAAAATTATAATTTTATAAATGGTGTCAAATAAAACAAAAGTTGTATGTTAATACAGCAACAAATATGTTTTTTTGCGACCCGGTAGAATATTCTTACTGAATTAAAATAAAAGGAATAATTATATCTAATAATCATAATATTGTGATTATAATCAGTGTCGAAAATTCACTTTTTTCTTGATATTAGCGTACCAATCTCATACGTAAAAATTTGTAAATTTTGAGAAAAATTGAATTTTACATTTTGTTCGTATTACCCTTTGAATAAAATGAAAAAAATGCAAGTCAATTTTTCTAAAAAAAAAACCGTTCTATTTCGCCGGAAATTTTAAAACCCCAATATATCAAACTAACATTTTTTGTATTGATTTTTGATGAACCACCAAGTACACTGCAAAGTACCTTTTACAATTTTTCTTTTTTTTTTTTTAGTACAGTTACTTAAAATAACATGTAAGAACTTGATATTATGTATTAAATAAAAAACACAATACAACAGTTCATACAAAATTCTTAAAAATGTTTCCACTAACTTTCAAAAACTTTTTTATATTCTTAGGAACTTTTTACATCTGCTGTACAGTCAGGAGAAAATAGTATTGCACACAATGTAAAGGTTGTACCCTAAATGCAAAAATAAAGAAATTTATATACAGTGTCCCAAAGAGTAAAGATAAATTTCTAAAAGTCTCAAGTTTAGTTGATTTTAGTGGGCTTTTTTGCATTAATACGAATTCAATATTGACATTTTATTATTTTGTAAATTTGTATTAATAGGTTTGGGCAGTACATTCCAGGGATATGGGTACCAACTTTTATAGTAACGCTTTTTGTTTTTACAGTGGCAGTGACAGTTCTATATGCGGTTTTATTTAAAATCTATAAATGTAAAAAAAAAGGTATGGGGACAAAAAAGAAATCCACAGAAAACATGAGAAAAGTTAAATCCAGCGAGAAGAGCAGAAAACAAAAAAAAGATATTTTAAAAAAATAATTAGTAGAATTGTTTTCTTCAAAAACCCAAGTTTTCAACAAATTAGTTTTTTTTTAAATTGTATCCTCATTACAGTACAGGATTTTTTATTTAAAGAAGCCTGGTTAATTCCAAAACAAATTTTCCTTTACCATTTTTTTAAATTCGCAAAATTGCAGGAGTTATGTAACTTTTAAAGCCTCCAAAGAAAGTGCATTACTATCAATTTGTAATCAGGATTGCCTACCTACATTTGAACACTACAGAAATATATTGAAACTGTATAAAATGACCCATAATACCCAAGGAATATTTAAAATGCCCCAAAATGTATCTAAACTGCTTAAAATGACATAAAACTAAGTTTATAAAATAAAAAAGTGCATAACTACTTTCCTTGACTGTACCCTGTATAAAATATGTATTTTTGATAAAAATAACTAAGATTAGAGAAAATATTGTTGTAGTAGTAGTACCGTAGCATAATACAAGTGGACATAAGGATAGAGGCCCTGTACTAGCGTTTAAATACAATTACAAAACACTCTTCTTTCATTGCACTGCCAGCAGAATCATAGTTTAACAGATTAGCAAAAAGCTTCCCTGGATAAACTGTTCAGTGGCTCTGGTTGTGCTGAAAGGTACGTTATGGGGGAAAATGAACAAAATAAGTACTTACGTTGATTTGATGGTAATGCAACGTTCTTGCTCATCCTTACGGGTGTCAGTGAAACGGGTTTCTCCAGCCTTGGCTCCAGCAATGATACCGGCTTTGGATACAAGGGAGTCTGTAAGGGTCGATTTTCCGTGATCTACATGAGCAATGACGGACATGTTACGGATGTTCTTCTTTTTGTCCATCATGTTACGGATCTCGTCTACGGTAAAGTTAACCTAAAAAAAAAACGGTGTTAGTAGTTAAATTTAATCCCGACGTATAATAATTGTGGATGCATATTGCACATGGACGTCATCAAAACTGCACTCACCATATTTACAATTTTATAAAACTGTACACCTAATAACAATAGTAAAGTGGAATGACAATTCCCTCAAAACTGACTTATAAATTTTATAAAACGTCTTCTACCGATAGCTTTTGTTAAAAGTAATGTAAACATCAAGATGTTTCATACTGTTGTGCAATCCGAAGAAAAATCACTTTTTTACGAAGAAAAAAAGGTTAATTAACAAAATTCTGCCGCCATCACGTAGCCTGAACATCCACGAACAATATTCACCACTTAAATCACTTTTATTTTACTTACCATCTTGGATGATTATGGATTTTTCTTAGCACAACAAAAATACGATACGCCAGTTATGGCGCACTCCCGTGAAAGGCAGAGAGAGGAGAGAGGAAGCAAGACCTGCCACGCAGTGGAGTTTTAGCAGTTACCAACGTTAAAAAACAAAAATAACTAGAAGTAATTCGATTTTGTAAACTGATTATTAAGTTTTTTTTACTTTAACCCATTTTGTAAACAGTTTTAAGTACTATTTTTGGGTAAATATTTTTAAATTAAATAAATAATGTTTATTTTGTTTTTTTTTAAATCATATGGATTTTTTTTACTAATATACGAGGGGTGTTCAAATATTTTATTCTATTTATAACATTATTTTTAGTTCTTTATTAAGCGTTATTTTATACTGGGTGTCTAAAAAATGGGACACTTGCTTGGTATAGTTTATAAACTCACAATCCACACAAAAAAGCCTGTTCCACAACCCAAAGCACAAGAATTGTCAACAACATAAAAATGGCCGCCATTAGATTCTGTGCAGTGTTGCAGTGATTTTTAGTATGTGTGGATTATGATTTTTACTTTAAAAACAACAGGTAGTTATAATTACATACATTAATTAATTAATTAATTTCAAATTAATTCCGTAATAAAGAGCAATTTATATTTTTAGAAATAGCCCAAATTGCTGTGCGATTTTTATAGACAACTAAATCTATGGTTTGAGGTTATGTATAACATAGAGTTCATTTTTTTATCTGTACTGCGGCAACGTTGCAAATTTAGGGTTTTGGTTGGTAAATACAGTTGTCAAGTTGGTTGCATTTATTAAAACAAACTAAGCTAGTTATAAATCTAATTGTGGTTATGTATAAATTATTGTAGGTTACATTGTGCAGTTGTCAAGTTGAGTTGTCGAAATTCGTAGTTAAAAATGCAATTAATTTGGCTTTGGTGGTGCTTGGATGAGTAAAATCATATAAAAAAGTAGTTAAATATAGGTTGCTTTACGGCCCAGAAGAGAAAGTATTCCTAGCGGATAATAAACTTCGCTTTGAAAAGAATTTATATAAAAGAAATTAAAATTTTTTGTGAACGTAAATGTTGTCCAATGGTGAATAATGTGAAAATAATGTGTCATGTAATATTTATAAAACCAAATTCGTTACTTTTTTACTCCAAAAATGTCTATAAGGCGATGTACTTTTTCTTTCATTGTGGCATTTGGCATAATTTCATCAAAATGAAGTTTTGCCCTCAAAAGGGCTTTAACATTCGAATTCGTTGCTACTATTTTTAGCATAATTATCTTTTTATTTATAATTGACAAGTAAATTATCAATAAATATTATTGTCAATTTAACAGTGTCAAAGTAGGTATTTAGTTAAATTCTTTAGCAGAAGTACCATTTTTAAATACTAAAAATACTAAGTCAAACTGGCATAAGCCACCAACCTAACTGTTACTGTTTGGTATTGTTAAAGTAGTTAGTAAGTACAAGAACAGAAAAGGATCAGATAATATTTATTATAAATTATAATGAAATGAAACACAAACATATTTTTTAGTGTATTTCCAATAAATAATCACAATATACAGTGTTTTTGCAGTTAATTTATATAAATGTTACAGTTAAGCCTGATTTATAGATTGCCTTCCTTCCTTCCTCCCGTAGAAGATGAACAATAAGAAAATCGTAGTGCCATTTATAGATTCCCGTACGGGACAGAAGGTTTTTGTATTGTTTATCTTCTACGTGAAGGAAGGAAGAAAGGCAATCTATAAATCAGGATTTAGTCAACTTTCTAAAATAATAATTATAATTGAATGGCCTGCAGTCTGTTTTAATTTAATTTAATTAGTAAATAGGTATGTATTTATTTAGGAATCTATCCTTTACAATTTCTCTCGTGAATATCGACACGATCTGGATTGAAGGTACGGGAACAAAATCTACATGGTACCAGTTGACTTAAGTGAGTTTCCCAGCTCGCGTCGCACATGGCATCTAGGTCAATTCTACCATCCTCTGAAGAAATAAACAATCTAAATATTTTATTTTTTTATTATTACATCTTGAGTAGGTATAAATAAAAGAATAATTTAAACATTGTTTGACAATAACTGTCAGAGATTTATAGCAATGTTGCCAGATGACGATTCACAAAAACCGGTATGCTGATTTTGAGAGATTCAAATGTTACAAACAGTTTTGCATAGACATACGCTATGCACGGGTGTTTTTCTACGATTTCTTTTGAGTTTTTTCCGAAATTTTTGTGTTTTTTTAAGTATAAGCCGCGCCCGATGGTTTTCAACGTTTTTCGTAAAGTTTTTACTGCATTTAGCTGTAGCAGACAGCACCCAACCTAACCCAACATTAAATATTTTCGATTTCCAAAAAATAAAGATCTGACAACACAGTGGATGAATGCAACAAGGAAAAGGATAAAATGAAAATAAAAAACGGTAAGTAAAGGCAATTTTCGGTATACCCAATTTTCTGGTACTTTTCACCCTAATCACATATTTTTTTACAGCTTGCATAAGTTGTTAGGTACTAATCATTTATCGAGTCATTTATTATCTATGGTACTAATAATAAAAATTAAAACACAATTGTATCGTTTAAACGATACAAATTTGAGATTTTTTTTTCTTTTGACACTTTATTATTAGCTGTATAAATGCAGTTTGATAATCTTGTTACCTTTTACATTGAGAAAATGCAAAATTTGGTCTAGCGTAGGTTTAGTTAATTCAATTAAATAAAAAATATTTTTAAAAATAATTACCTAATTAATTGTTGCTTAAAATATGTTACATTAAAAGCGCTTGCTGGCAATTTAACTTTGAATTTGCAGTGCAATGACATTAGCTGTATAAATGCAGTTTGATAATCTTGTTACCTTTTACATTGAGAAAATGCAAAATTTGGTCTAGCGTAGGTTTAGTTAATTCAATTAAATAAAAAATATTTTTAAAAATAATTAATTAATTGTTGCTTAAAATATGTTACATTAAAAGCGCTTGCTGGCAATTTAACTTTGAATTTGCAGTGCAATTTGCACTGCAAATTCAAATGACATTCCAAGTCAGTTACCCGCCAGCTTATTGTGTCATATTTATGGTGTTCTTTGATATTTATAGCAATGTTGCCGGATGTAAAAATATTTTTGTCAAATACATTAAAATATTGTTTTGCGCTGTACTGTAGACGACAATTTGTAACTTTATAGTTATAAATCTTAGTGCAATGAGCAGTGTTGCCAGAACTTATTTTCAAATAGTACTAGTTTTCAGTTAAAAAAGTACCAGATTTAAAAAAAAAGTACCATATTTTCAGAACTCAAAAATAAAGTTTTAGGTAAGGAGGGGTGAACATTTTTTTTTATTCATTTAGTTTAATAGTAATATATAGTTATTGCATTTAATACTACTTTACTTTCATATTATAAATAGTATAATTACCTCTCCATAATAAATATCCCCCTATTAATATTATATAATAATTATATACACTTAATACCTAATTACTTTTTTTAAATATCCCCCTATTAATATTATATAATAATTATATATACTTAATACCTAATTACTTTTTTTAAAATACAGAAAGTTTCTATCAGAATTTTTAATGACAAGTGACAGTCATGCGCAACAACTCTCTTTAGTTGGTTGGTTTAGTAGGTTTCGCCACAAGGTGGGTGTCGCCATCTATTATCATTCCGCCCAATGTTTCTAAATGTGTATTTATAGTTGCGTGTATCCGTTTAAAATTTATAATAATTTTAATTAAGTAGGGTAAAAAATTGTTATTTTATTTTTAGGCCCATATATCAAAAAGTACTAGATTTTGATTCAAGGGTACTAGGGTATAGAATGTTTTAAAAAAGTACTAGATCTAGTACAATTGTACTAGACTGGCAACACTGGCAATGAGCCAAACCCCCAATAATAAACTGAGTCGTGAAATTTTTTCGGGTATCTCGCAACTATTTTTAACAGCAACGGTGTCGCTGCAGTTTGCATAAATTATATTACGATAAAATGACTAATTTTCGTAGGGTTGAAACTCCTCGTAATTTAACCTTTGCGGTCAATAAACTGACCGTCATGGAAACACATGATTTCAGAGTTCAACGAACCACATCGATTATTTTTCGAGTCAACCCCCCTTGGAAAATTATGTATTTTCAAACGCAAGCAGAATATATTTTCATTGAAAAGTTAAGCTTCAAAATGTCGATACCTGTATACTTAAATTCTGGCTTCGAAGGTTGGGGTCTTCTCTTTTGCTGCGGTAATTTTTCGTTTTCCATTTTCCACATTTTCAAGCACTGAGGTTCGTGGATGTTGATGGAGTTCACGGTGAACAATTTCCCGCATAAATAGCACGGAAAAATCTGAGGCCGTCTTGCAGAAGAAGTTCTTTGCTTTTCCTCTTTGATTTCCATATTCGTTATTGGTTCTACCAGAACCCTTATGTCTCCTGAAACTATTAATTCTTCTCAAACATTCTGTTACAATAGTATATATACCCAAGCAGCATTTTTGGTTCCAAAAACCATTACCAAAGTGGTAATAACTTTAAATTAGTTAAGTATAGTAAACAGCTACTTTAATTTTTACTTAAAAGTAATTCTAACTTTTAAATAGCAATATTTTGTAACAGAAACTTCATTCTTTCCTTAAATGGTTACTATAAAGTAATAAACATTTAAAGTAAAACTTGGTTGCCCCCAAGAAGACTTTGCAACTTTAAAAAAGGTGTTATAAGTAAAAAAAACTTTCAAGTAAATTTAATTTGTAGCAGTTACTTTCGGTTGCTACCTAAAGACTACATTATAATTATTTTTACTTTGTAGTCCCTTTGCAAGTTAAAATCTCAAAACTGGAACATGAGTTAAAAACTACAAAGTTAATAACTTATAAGTTATTAACTTTGTAGTTTTTAACTCATGTTTATAAAAGTTATTATTTTAGTATTTGGAACGTTTATGGTACTAACCAAAACTACCGTAAAGTAAATTAAGGTGGAAAGAAACTTTAAAGTAGCGAAAACTACTTCAAAGGAAAATGCTTCTTATCGGCCATTTTTTACTGTACAGTACCACGTGGTAATGTAAATAATAAATTATTTTAATTGTTTGTAAATGGTTGTTTACTTTTTAATTAATAGTTATTTTGCTGGTAATAGACGGTATTAATA